AATCACTCAAAAGAAACACTAGTACTTGTGTTAGAGGAAGGCCCACGCTCAACAATATTTAGTCCAGCAGCCTCACGACTTACCGGCTAAAATGGACCACGTCAAGCGAGAACCATACAGTAATGACAACACTCTTTTAGCGACCGACCCACGGTTATCATCCGCATTCGGCAGCGTTTGTGTTTTCACGTGCTGAAGGGGCAGCCGTAACTACACGTCACGTTTGCAAATAACTGAAGAGGACCGATGAGAACATCGCAAAAATGGAAGTGAGATTACCCGACTTAGACAAATGCCTAGATCACCAGCGGCTCTAATAGCCATTTATCCATAGCAAGCGCCTCGCCACCATAATCATAGTACATGACTCAGGCTTTCTCGAACTGCCAACAGTATGAAACGTTTCTTGAAAGCGACAACTTTAAAAATATGATATCGTTCACGAAATTCTCGAGTGATAATCCCAGTGTCTTTCTGCTCAACAAGCTGCGAGGCCAAGCAGCAGATGAAATTATGTGGGCTCGCCTTTTTAACAAGTTGTGGAAGAGAAATGAGGATCTTGATGGTGTGTTTAGCGCACTCTTGCTTTCTTGGAGTGGACAACCGTTCCATGCAGCTACTTTTTTAAAGGACGGTTTCATACTTTGTAGTATGTATAACTATTTGAAGAGTCTAGTCCTTCATTAATTGGTATGCTATGAAAGTCTCACTGAAAAAGAAGAAAAATGAGTTCCTATCCGATTTAATGGAACGTTCGATAATTAAAAAAATGTGGAACAATTTTCTTGGCAAACTGCAATACGACCAATCCACTGAGATCTATTTGAAGGAATTGTTTAATGGTTTTCCTTCGCAAGAAATAAACGATATCGTGCCGAACAACTAGCAAGTGAGCCAGCCTTGTTCTTAGCTTGAGACTTGGACGGTAGCTATACCAGCTGACTCGTGGAATGTGATGACTTGTTGACAGCAAGAAGGTGAAGGTAGTCACGTGAGTTTTAAAAAAAGAAAAAGAAAATGTATGAACAATGGATTCGTTGTCTGTGACTTATGACTAAGCCAAACTCTTGTAAGTGTTACTCTTGCTTCGTCGAATCTACAGCAAATGGAAAGGGCAGCAAATGCGGTATTTCAAAACGAAAGATAGTAGGGATTGGTACTGCTCACGACCGTTGACACTGCAACAGTATTCTCACTACACTGTCCCTTGGGTGTTCATTGACAGGCAAGAGACGGTCAGCAACTCGCACATGCTTTAGTGATGCTCTAGAATGATGGTGGGGAGGCGCTAGTTAGTGATGAATGGATACTTAAGCAGCCGGTGATGTCACTCCAATTTTGCAACGTTCTCATCAGTGTTCTCTTCAGACAATTTTCCGGTTATGAGCCCAAATTCGCTCACGACAAGTTCAAACGGCATGCGAAACGATGACAACTGCTTTCTGTGGGTGTTTGCTGCTCGCATGACTCCGCATGACTCCGGCTCATTGCTCCACCATCTCGAAATGAAACCCGGGTACGCTTTGGAGCATGCAACTGAGGAGTCCTTCCACACATCGGCCAGGGGGGAAAGAACCGAATCGTTCTCGGCGGCCATCACACACGGTCGATCTCTGGTGTACCTGCTGGATTGCTACCTTCTGCTGAAGATTAATTGTTGAGTGGCAACCTTCCATGAGTGATGTGAGTAGTCAAGATGAGACTGTGGAGCCAAAATCCAAATGCCTGCGATTGACTAACTGATACGAGATTGCTCTCGCTGTGATGAAGCTCCCCGTATGTATCAAAAATTCATGGCATCGCCACAACGCGTCAGAGTTAAAGTAGGCGGTGCATCGAACTTCGCTCACTATATAAATCACACATGGAATGCTGTACGTCGTTTTAACGGTGCCAAAGTTATTGACTGCAAATGAATATTCGACGTAAAATGCGACGCGGATGGCAATATTGTGCGATACAAGGCGCGCTTGGCAGCCCAAGGCTTTCGGCAAGTGCATGATTCTGCTATGTTGAGATCTGCTCACCGGTTGCGAGTTTCAACTCGGTTAGGTGGCCCTCCTGGCTTTGTGTTGCCAGGGAAACTGCTTGATACGTCAGATGGATGTCTTGACTGCTTTCTTAAACGGGGTGCTGGAGAAAGAATGTTCACGGTATGGTGTACAAGCTCCGCCGGAGCATTTATGGCCTCAAGCAAGCAGCAGCAGTGTAATACACAACAATTGTTGAGGTGTTCACATCGATGGGTTTTGTAGCTAGTGTCTGAGCCGTGTACTTTTGATCACGAGCGAGGTTTGAATTCATCCTATACGTGGATGATCTTCTGATTGAATGTGTGGACAATGGTGTGGCGGATGAGATCTGAGATCACGTCGAACTTACATTTCAAGCTTGAAGGGTTGTCCTGGCACCAAGGATTATTACTATTAAGAACATGGCAAGCTGCATATCTGTCAATCTCGATACAATGAGCGTCTCACGAGTAAGTTCGGCCAGGAGTCTGCCCAATCATGCCGAAACCCCGATGTGATTAACCAGAAATAGTCAGAATTCAAGGAAACCCAACGCATGGGTGCCGACGGTATCGTTACCTGATTGAAGCTCTACACTACATTGCAAGCGGTGCGCATCCAGATATTTGCATCTTGGTTTGTAAGTTGTATCAATACTTCGACTCTCCATGTGAATCACACTTGAAGGCTGCAGTTCATGTACTGCGCAACGTACTGAGCATCATGTATACCCGAGACGATGAGACGGTGTTTGGCCCGACGGTTTATGCATCCGCAAATTAGGGTGGTGATGTAGGGAAGCGGAAGTCAGCGTCGAGTGTATTGGTGGTTCTCTGTGGCGTGCCAATATCGTTCAAGTCGAAGCGTCAACGTACTGTTGCGCTCTCCTCAGCAAAGGCTGAGTATATGGATATATCATTGGCTGCTCAAGCATTACTGTGCGTCCGACACGCCCTTGAAGAACTAGTTACGAATTACATCCCTTCTTATGCTGTACACGGCAATAATCAGGCAGCAATCGCTTTAGCATCGAATGCTGGTTATCAATCTTGTGCCAAGCAATTTGTCTGTTCTAGATGCTGTGCATGACGGTACTCTTCAAGTTCAGTATGTGTCATCGAGTAAATAGCTCGCCAACTACATATATAGATCTCCCCACGCCCCATTTCACAGATAGTATAGCGACAGTAGATATAACCGCCAATTGGACGGCCAAACTGTCTCTTGGGTGTTTATTGACAGACAAGAGACGATGGCTTTACCTACCGGTTTCATCCACCGTTCAAGCTGGGCGTCTAGCACACTATGATGCCAAAATTTGTCCTCCTTGTTTGTTTCACTGTTGTTAAGACAAAGTTACTAAGGGTTACTACCTCGGCACGTACATCCGGTTTTTCTACCGATTGCATATCATTTATGAATTTAAAGAATGCCGGTTCTGTCAGAAATTGAAGTTGATCACTGGGTGTGTATGTGATCAGGCCTCAAGATTTGCGGTTTTTCGAAGTAGATTGTCAAACACACAGGTAGCGAGTGTGGTAAAGATAGGGTCTTCTCTCAGCTTGTACACATATTTAGCCCACAGATATTCATCGTTTGAAAGACTCAGCAAATATCTCATTATCTCGTCTGCTTGCTCTTATATAATCACCTCTGCTTGCGATAATGAAACTGGATTGAAGAGAAACTTTGTGCCATGAAGTCATAAGCATGAATGAGTATGCGATCCGTATTTGCAGCTGCTGCCGAATGGTATATCTTTGCAATCCATGTATGAACGGCAACAAAGAATTTTTTTTCTGCGCCCGACAGCTCCACCTCCAGTTTGTGTCGTTCCTTTTGTCTTCTTAGGCTTCCCTGCAAACATGGGGAGCCATCGCAAGCTTCAATAGCACTTGGAATATTTCAACGCGTGCATTCGCCATACCATATTGTTCGTCGTCATGAAGCTAGATTAGTACCGCACGACTTGTTACCGAGGAAGTCATCCAGTCAATGTTAGGCTGACAACGCTTCACCCGTGGCATACCTATGATGATTTCAAACTTTTTATCGAGTTCGAGAAAAATAAACTCGTTCTCATCTCGAAAATAACAAACTTCATTTGCCAAGCGGACATGGAATGTTAATAACAATAATATTGTTAGTTGCTTGGAACACAGTTTGAAGGGCAGAAGCAGTAGTGAGCCGCAGTCCCGGGATGTAACAAGACAAAGCGATTGTTGCTTTGTGGAATTTCTGGTGAATCGATAAAGTACAGCTGTAAGCTACTTTCTACTGTGTGAAGGCTGGTCGGAGTCGAAGCGACTTGATGTCGCAGTATCGATGATGTAGAAGAGCGAATATTCGTCGCAAATGATGGGCGGGGCACATAGTTAAGCAAAATACCTTTTCCTTGTCCATGATGTAAGTCTGTGAACGTCGGTTTTCTTAAATTTATATATATGCCTTTAAGAGAGATTGTAGTAACCTTCATTAGTCCATAAATCAAGAATATGATTTAAAAGACTTAAAGGTCATTGGGGTCACGTCATATCATTACGCAGCATGACCAACAATTTGCTCAAGACGAGTTTGTCCTTACATATGATAAAACTAAGAATCCAATAGCAATTTATCCCAATCGTATCTGTCGACACGGGGGTTCCTGTAAAAAGCATATATGTCTGGATCTGTCAGAAGCTTAACAATACTGCTGGGTGTATGCTGTGTTATCTAGCACAAGTAGATAGTCGAACGCACTAGAATAAAACTCGAACATGTGTTAGTCTTCTTGCAGCACGTTAATCACTCTCGTCCACATGAGTTCATCATTCGAAAAATTTCGCAGCACGTTCGCGCATTCTACTGAACAAGAAAATTTTTAAATTTCTCTTTTCCGAAATATCGAATCTTCCCCAGATTGCCGAACCAACAATCCTCACAAAATATTCAATATTCGTGAAATGAGGAGAAAGGTGTCGAGCCGGGTACACCTTATCTTTTGGAAGGCTTGTCCACCATTTTTGCTTCACACCGATAGCTAAATGATGATCATATTCTTTCTACAGCTTACCAAAATAAAAGATTGTCTGCAAGATGGACATGGTGTGTTTTCTTTCCATCACCTTGGCTGTCAAAGATTCGTCGCAACTTTCTGATCCTCTGGTGACTGAATGTCAAGCAAATTAAACAAGATGTCACTATGAAATTGCGGCTTCTTTTGTCTTTACGAGCTTGTCGATTGCTTCCGGGATAGACATCCCAAGATAGTTATTTTCGTGCAACACATTTATCACATTTTTGCTGGTCAGTCTGTCTGCAAACGGCTGAAAACCATTGCGTAATGATTTGACATTATGGAGGACTCGCTCCTCGACCAATTTGAACATGTGAGGGACAAATGAGGCAGAAATATTGAAGTGAGTATACATACTAAAATTAAATGTTCTATGATGCACATAACATGAACACCAGAGATAATTGTTGTACTCATGGCAAATTTTTTTTTGGCCAAAAGTTAATATCTGTAGCAATATAAAGTTTCCTCTCGGATTATCGTGGGTAAGTACTAAAAAAAATGCATTGTATGTCATCTCGTGATTTTTTTTGTTACCTTATCCGGATAAAGTCAAAAGTTATGTTGCCTTTTGAATAACAATACGTGATGGTTGGAAGGGTGTTGGGATGACACCACTGAATGCATGTTGAATAGGCGGATGACGTCATACTTATTACAAGTACGTCACCTTAAGTAATTACGGACTAAGT